TTTAGTTTTTTTAGTTTTTCTCCGGTACCGGGAATCGAACTCACGACCTTGCGCTTGCCAGGCAGGTGCTTTGCCGCTGAGCTAAATCCCCAGCCCTTTACAAGCAATTTTAGATTAGCCCACAAGTGTATGTATTTTATGTACTTCACAAGCTGCTGTTTCGACTTTTGCAAAGTCTCAAACTGAGAAAGTTACCTTTCTGATTTCATAATACGGACTAACAAAAGATTAGAAAAATACTTAAAGGTCTGCCCTCATTTCGCAAATGTAAAGCTTATTTCTCCTTTACAATATTCCTCTTTCGTTCTGTTTTTCCTGTAGGTGGCAAACATTGACATTTCCTGGTAGCTACTTATGTTTCTGGCCTACATCATCTACACAGCATACAACAGCCACCCTGGGCCATGTACTATGAGGAGGAATAAGGCAGTTACTGCTGACAAGGACTCTGTAAGGGAAAGCAGGAGACAGGAACATTCAGAAACAATGTCTAGTCTGCTCACCAAACACTGCCTTTTCCTTGCTTTACTGGTCTTTTACTACATTTTACCCTGGTATGTGGGTCTTGGTATGTGGTTCAGGCTAGCCTTGAACTTGTCATGATCCTCCTGCCTCAGCCTCCTGAGTACCACCACACCATCACACTCTGCTGGTCTTTTACCATTTTCACCTACATGTTTCCATGGAAAGCAAAAGGCAATCATTCCCAATCTGTTCATTTGTCAATAGCAGTTTTGGTAGGGAAAAAAAAAAGACAGGGAAAAGTTTAGGTATAGGTTATTATCTTATTGGACTCCATAGGTTTTAACGTTCTACTCATGTTGTATTATCAAGAACAAATGAATGTTTGAAATGATAGAAAAAAACAGCCTGTTACTAGTATATGGAAAGTTATATTTAATTCCCATGGATAACTTTAAAGACCCTTTAACACTCATTTGGTTGTGGATACTGCTAATAAAATCTTAAATAAAAACTGAATTTTAAATATTAATATTAATTGCCTCTAAGTGGCATAAAAGTGCTCATACAATTAAAAGCTTTAAATGAACGGCAAGGCTGGGGGTGCGGGGCGGTGAAAGAGTCCTTGCCTTGCATGTTGTGGACCCACACTTCAGCCCCCCAGCCCTGCAAACAAAAGGGGAGAGGGTGGATGACAGTACACTCACTCTGGTGGCTTCTCAAATTTCACATGTAGCAACAACATTTTAATAAAGTAAAACATGTGTCTTCTGAATTGTCAAAACTATATTTCTTTGTCAACAACTTTGTATTTTATACCACAAGCTTTGGGAGAAAGTATGGAAAGTCTTCTAAAGTTTAGATTCAGAAATATAGCAGCTCCAAAACACATTTCTTAGCTAAGGAAAAAAGCTGAGACTTTTACTTGATGTGTTTTTGTAACTTTTTTCAATATGTATCTATTGCATAGTAATGGTAGCATAACCTTGAGCCCTGTGCTTTAAAACAAACCCTCTGGGCTGAGCATGTAGCTCAGTGGTAGAGTACTTAGCTAGCTAAGTGTGAGGTCCTGGATTCAACCCTAAAATACATAAACTCTTGGATATTATCACAAATAGGCTATGGTTATCATTTCCAGAACAGTAAAATTGTGTGTCCCTCATTTTCCTGTTAAAGTGACTATATCTAGTAAATAAATTACAGTGGTGCTTTGGTTCACAAACATAATTTGTTTCATGATTTTGGGGAAGATGGGTGCGTTTGTGTTTGTGTGGGGAAGATGGCTGTGGCTGTTTGTCACCCAGGGTAGAGATTGTGAATGGAGTCTGTCAAACATTTCTGTTTGAGAATCAAATTGTTTGCGAACAGAAGAGTTTCTGAACTGAGGTATTACTGTATTCCTAGTCACTAAATAAAAAGGACAGTTTAGAGACACTAATTCTAGTATATTATTAAGAGGGAGATTTCTGTGTAGTAGAAATTATCAAGAATTATCTCACATTTATATTTAATTCCTAATGTTATCGTAACCATCTTGCTTTTAAGAAAGTGTACAGAAGTTCTCTTTAAAAAGAGACTATAAAAAAGGGCACAGTAGGAGCCTAAGTCCCAAGAAAAAAGTGAACAAAGCTATTAATATAGTGTGTGGGTGATTTTTATTTATATAGATGAGAATGTTTCGTGGATGATTTTCTAAAGGTTATGCAAGAACCAACTGTACTGAATTGTAATAAAACTGCTCCACACTGGGAATTTTCCTGACGCACTGCCAGTTCATCTCAGTGGAGGCTGGAAGCAATAGGTTTCTTGCCATTATCCCAGTTCATACCGAAGACAGCTAATTGATCTCTGTGAAAACACACAATGTGCAGGAAAATTAAACATTTCTTTTAGTTTGTGTGTCTGAAAAATGCAAAAAGGCAAGGAAGCATGAATCTGTCCTTACTGTATGCTAGTAAAGCTGACCTTGTTAAAAACTTTGCCTTACAGAATATAAATATATCGGGATTTTTTGATTATGTCTTTATTATTTATGTTTTCAACTTAATTTTTATGTCAAGTATTTCAGGGATAATATATATGAAAAGTATGAAGTTAATCTATACCACAGAGAAGAAGAAAAATCATTTGTGTTGTAAAAGTGTTAAGAGCTAGTACACATTTTAAACAAGCGATGGGAATATGAATGCTCTGGAAAAGTCTGGCATCCACAAACCTCAAAAACATGAAGTGAGACAGGAAAGAAAGCACGCTGTATGGGTCACTTATAAAATTCAAGTACAGTGTCTCAGTCACTTTTCTGTTGCCGGGAAAAACCCAACACCCACAGCTTAAAGGAGGAGAGGCTCATTTTAGTGCGCAATTTCAGTCCACGGTTGGCTGGCTCCTAGGCAGACACAGGACGGCAGAGGGATACAGCAGAGAGAAGATGCTCAAGCCATGGCAGCCAGGAAGCAGGGAAAGAACGGAGGAACTGGGACAAGAACACACTTTTCTGGGTCACACCCCCAGTAACCCCCCACCAACCCGCACACTCAGCTATGAAGTCATCAACGCATGGACCCACAGATGAGCAGAGTGGCCACGTAATCCGGTCACCTTCCAAACCTGTGAGACTTTGGGGACATTTTAGATCTAATCCACAACAATATGGGATTAGAAACTAGTGGCTGCCAGAGCAGGAGGTAGGCTGGGAAGAGTGAGATGGGCATTTTCTAGGGTGAGGGCAATGCTCTGTCTTGTCAGGGATGTCGGTTACCAGGTGTATACATTTGTCAAATTCAAACCCAGTGCATTTTACTTTAAAAAAGAAAGTTACACATGGTACGTAAGACCACTGCGTTTTACTTTAATTCTATTGTCAGTCGACAGCAACTGCTGGGTGGCTGTGGTACTATGGGCTCCCACCGTAACTAGCTCTAACTATGAGCTGTGCATCCCTAGCATGTGACACAGAAAATGATTTTTAAAAGCTGTGTGCATTATTGAGCATTTATTACTTTGTTTCACTAGAACATTGACATAACTTGGTTTTCACTTGCAAGATTAATTTTGGAGAAATTAATTCATAGCAAAAACATAAATTATAAATTTATATTAGAAAATACATTCAGAAAAATTGATAAATAATGAAGTTTAGAACAATGAGCAAAGACCATTCACTTACTCATTGAACTATTATTTACTAAGCATACAAAGATAAATCTAAGAGACTGGTTCTGTTTCTGAAAAACTTGGTAATTTCCAGGACAAAGTAGAATTGAGTTTTAATTTTCAAACACTCATAGGATTTACAAAACCAGGGCATTCTAATTAAGTGGAATACAGTGAAGGTTCATGAAGGTTCATTAACTTTGATTTGGGTAGAAAAATTAATATTTACTAAGCGGACTAAATTTCCTTCATTCTCTTTTTCCCATGTAATCACAAACTACTTACAGTGGGGAGACCTTTAGTAGACAGAATGCTGTTTAATAGGAAGAGTCATACAAAATACAGTAATGATGCTGAGCTGAGAAAGTAATACTTCTTTGAGATTATAGGACTTACAGCCTCCGCTAGCTCTGCACATGCCTTTAACCCGGACAGTCATTTGCAGATGAGACAGGACTGTAAATCTGTTCACATGAGTACAATTTCTATAGTCGCTTTCATAACAAATTTAATTGCTAAATTATAATACATACAAATAGTTTGAAATGACAGCCACTGGTAATCACTTATAATTTAAAGTACTAATCAAGAGCATCATTTTGATCTTTGAAACACTATGACTTGACAAATTTTATTGAACAATTTCTTTTAATTAGTATTTCTTTTCACCTAACTTCCTCTTGCATAAA